CAATGCCCCAGTGTGGCGCTAGGGGTCACTGCTCAGCAGGGGGCACTGTCCCCCAGTCATCAGCGCTGGCCCCAATGGCACAGTGTGGCATGTCCAAGGTGACAAAAGGCCAACTTAGCCTGTTACACAAACTGCAAAAGTCAGCAAAGCAGGAGAACAACAGACGGGCAGCCAGGACTGACAGAGGGAAAAGAGCTGGGCTGATGCTACGGGCTCGCCCGGGCTCTGGGTGAAGTCCCAGGTTGGCACGACATTGAGCTGAGAGAGTCCAGAAATGGGAGGACCCCTCCAGGGTTCAAATCCCCATAGCGCCTTTGAGTGATTAATGTCAATGGGACTAGACCCATCCCCCCACCTGGATATTGTGTATCTGGGGGTCACTAAATGGGAGCATTGGGATGGGGGGACTGAAAGAAACAAGCCACACCAGCAAGGCTGCCACCACCACTGTCTCCTAGGACCCCAGGATCCACCGCGACACCACTAGGCCTTGTTCTCCTCATCCTCAGAGATGTCCTGACAAGAGCAGGTCAGAGAGGGAGGCACATGATGCCCCCAGCTCCAGCTGAATCCCCTAAACTCCACCTGGGATGTGAGATTGATTCTTGAGGACACCCCGTCCATCCTGGGGCATTGTCCTTCTCCGCCTTATTTCTCCCCCTTCTCTCCCTGCCTTTTGCCTCTGTCTGCTAAGGATTCAGCTTCACTGGTCAAGACAATTCCACCCTTTGCACGTGGGCTGTGATCCTGTGACCAATAAGGCAGCTAAAAGCAAGGCCTTAAACAGCCAGATGCCAGCATGAGTTTGCCAGGTGTGGGCGTGGCTGGTCAGACCATGGGCTGGGCCTGTGTTTCTCCAGCCATGAGGCTGAAAATGAGAGTCAGCCCCAGGGACAGAAGCTGCATTTTCTCCCTTTGCTGCTCTTTCCTCTCCCCTTTTGTGTGTGTTTGTCTGGATTTGCCTTAAACCAGGCAGGGTCAGCAGGGCCGGCTCTAGGCACCAGGCACCCAAGCACATGCTTGGGGCGGCACCTTGTAAGGGGCGGCGGGGGGAGCGCGGCACGGCATTCCGTGGGGGGGGCGCTCCGGCGGCGCGGCGCTGGGGGGGTGGGCTCCGGTTGC